CCAGCGTTTTTTGAGAAGACTAATAGATTTTCAAAAAAAGTCTGTTTTGTTATCGCAAATTGAAATCTGCACTTAAACAAGCGTTTTTCAAGCCAAAAAATAAATTTTGATGCAGCAAAATCAGGTAATCTAGTTGCTCGTAATTTTCATACTAATCAATTGCTCTAATTTTTTTTTGCTTCAATGTTGCTTTGAGCTCAAAACTAACAAGAGTTTTTAGTTGTGATACTTTTTTGGGTTGTTACGACGCTTTATATAATGCCAATTTGGCCAATTTGGGACAAGTAACGCGAGATATTTCGCGATTTTTACTTCGATATTTCGAGCGGAGAATTATTCCCTCTTACAAATTGTTCCAAATTGAAAACAAGTGAGTTATTCGGTCTATTCAGTACTTCGCAATAAGCAAAAACATCAGTTTGTACACTTTAAATAGCGTGTGGGGAGATGTTTTTTCAACAAAAAATCTCAAAAAGAAGTTTCGAACTTTAATTATTTGCAATTCATTTTCTAAAAACGAACAGTCTTTCATAAACCTTAAAATGCAGTCGAAACATTCAAAGTTTTTTCTGATACTAGCAGTCTGGTATGTTTTCAATTGTTTCGACTTTCGAAAAAAAAGGAACATTTATGCGTGGTGTGGTTTTTTTATTCACTCATTTTCCGGATTGAAGTATTAGTTTTTAACAAAAAAACATACTCCATTGAAGATATTGACTCCCTGATGTAAAAGATTAAGATGTAAAAAGACATTCTACCTCCAATCGTTTTTCGTCTTAAAATTTCTGGGAATTTGTAAATAGTCAATTAGGCCTTGCTCTGGATTGATATATGCGTGCCTTGAACATTTTAATGGTGAAAACGTAACGCGAACTACTCGAGACCAAATAAAGGGCAGTCGGAACTTTCAGGGCTTTTTCCTGATATACGAGCAGTCTGCTTTTTTCTACTCTCTCCACATTTGAAAATCAATTCTGAAAAACTATTTTAACGTTGTCATAATGCAGGGAAATTTGGCATGATGAACCAACTAACGATTATGAACAGATTTTTTCCTCATACTCTAGATTGAAGAATTACGCATTCAGCTGTAATAACACGTAAAGCAACTAAGAAAATAGACAATTTGAATTGTGGGGGGGGGAGAGCTGATTTGTCGAGTTACACCTTTAGGCTTAGTAGAAATCATGAAAAATCACTCTGGAAAATTAGTTTACCCCGGAACAGAATTTCTTGCGCCTATTTCAAGAAGTTAATGTTATTTTCTCATGTTACTGCTTCAGAGCTAGTTTTTACTTCATGGTATTATCTACTGTTTCATTTTTTCTCTGTGTTTGTCGATCTGATCTGAGAATTTTTTTATCCAGCTTAACTGTGATTGAAAGCAAACACATAAAGCTTTATAGAAATAAAATTTAGGAACAAGAATCTGCGATTCGATAGTCTATGGGAAAATACGAGTAAGACCGTTCCCTACAATAAAAAGACGCTAGTCACATAAAGATCATTATATTTTAATATTTCCATTCCATTAGAAATGCTGTCTGAGTCGGACTAATACTCCGCCTTCCCTTTAGAAAAACAACTGGAAACAAACGCGTATTTATACAGCCAATTTGGCTTAATCTGTCAATGTTTGGATTCCAGTAACTTAAACAGAGACGATCAGTGTTGAAGCTTTATTCTGTCTAGGTTTTGAATTCTCTGAAATGGTCTAATTCTTTCAGTCAGAATTGTTTTATTCAAAAGTAGCGCACGTGGTAAACTGTTCTGGCTCAGACATCACTCCAAATTATAGCTCTTTTTCCTTTTCATCCACCTGCAATTTTTTACTAGTTAAATTAATATTCGCTTTATCCGGTTGTTATCAAAACTGACATGCGGACCAGTTAAGCCATGAAAAACAAATTTGGTGTTCATACCTAAACTTGTAAAACGAATGATTACAATATAAAAAAGTTGATAATGGGTGGGGGGGTGGGGAGAGAGCTTGGAAAAAGAGCACAAATTATATTTAGACAAGCTAAATATTTCATAAAATTTTTTCTTGCTAAAAAAGCAACTTTTTGTTCCGGGTACATCCGACGAAAATGGCCGAACATTTAGGCTCGGTGGTTTTTTCTTTTTTCAAACTTCGACTTTTGAATTAGCAATTTTTCACGAATTATTAAAAATAATTTTAAAAGAATTGTTGTCCTGAGCTAGTGTTTGAAAAAATTCATTTTCACCTTTATAGTTTTAATATTCCTTTTTTTGAAGAAAGTCACTGCAAAATTGTGTTCGGGATTGTTTTTTTTCTTCAGACAAATGTCGAATTTGTTAGCAGAAATAATGACGGAGTTTCTTAATATCATTAAAAAGGTTTTGTTGTCCTGAGCTTAGATTTGAAAAGATATTTCACCCCTGGTCCTTTTTCATAAAGCTATGGGGTTTAATGATTGCCAATTTGCGCAAATTGGGACAATTAACGCGCAATATAGTTTGTGCTTTTAACGCGTAATCTGAGATTTAATCCGTCTTAGAAACCGTTCCAATTTGGATTGAGGCATGCTATTTGGTCTAATTAGGCTCTAATTAGACTCTGCAAAAGAGGCTCTTTTCCACTTTCCCCCACATTGCAGATTTCAAATTTTTGGTATGAAAAATGAATAACAAATGTGTTCATAACATGAGAAGCAAGATATGAAAATCAAATGTGTTCACAACAATTAATTGGGATCAAGTTAACATCCTCCCCTCAAATCAGTTTATGAGGGAGGATGTTAACTAGGTTCTGAGCTCGAATTTTCAGTCAATCAGAATAGAGAATTTTACACGCAGCGCTTTTCAAATTTGTCTTAAATTCAACGCTGGGGTGCAGGATCCCAATTTCGTCTATTTAAGGGGGGGAGAGGATGTTAACTTGATCCGTTAGTTTTTTCAAAACGCAAAATGACATTACATTATGACAACGTAGAAATAGTTTTTTAAAACGCAAGTTCAAATGTGGACGAAAGTGGAAAAGAACCGCGAATTTTATCACTTTGTACTTATTATAGCTTGCGGCGGGATGATTTAAAAAAACTTATAAAAAGATGTTGACTTCTTATTTTTGATTTAAATTTCATCGGTTATTTTTGTTTATACTTCATAGATAATAAAATGCAGTCGGAAATGCGCTTTGCCTTGATAGGAGCAGTTTTGTTTTCACTTTGTACTTAGCTTCAAATGAGTTGATTTTGTGTTCGAATTTTTTTTTAATTTTCAGACTAGTACTTTATGTTTTTTGAAAAACTAGTTCACCACAGATACCTTAAAGGGCTCTTGTTACGATTAAACGTTTGCCGTGATAGGAGCAGTCTTGCTTATCCAACTAAATGAATAGGTTCCGATGAGGATTCAGACATTTATGAAAATATTTAACGTCATAGCTCAACCAGTAAAATAACGCATCTCCAAAATCATTTAGCCTATAACCTCAATAATTTTTTTTGTTAAATAATTAATAATTAGCAACTTCAAAAAAATTTTTGTTCAAAGATGGCAGTGACATTACAGATCAAGCTTATGTTATGGTTCTGTAAACTGGTATAATAACCCTACCCTTTTCCATTTTTTTGAGAAGTTAATGGTTGTTCACTCTCAAATAGCGTGAAATTGAGCAGTTAAAAAACACGAAAATGATTGACGTTAATACGTTCCTATACAAGAACTAATGACCGCGCGGCCAAGAGACTAGACCTTGATACATGTACACCCGAGGGGCTACAGAACCATTTGACCGTTTCAAATTGTTTTTTTTTTGTTCTAATTCGGTTCAATTTTGGTTAAGGCTGGCTGCCAAAAAGAGCAATTGGTCTCAAAGGCAGTGTATTACCGGTTCTTGTGGCTTGCTTGCGCCAATTTTGAGCGTTGTTGGCGCAGATTATTGGTGCTGATGATCTTATATTCGGATGAAAATAACATTTTTGCCCATGAAGTTTGTATTGCCGAAAATACGAACTTATTGTTGACTTTTCTGTTTTAAATTCATCCTTAAGGAGATTGAGCGCACAATGGTTCTCTTTGAAAAGCTCAAATTATTGGCAAGCTTAAATGTATCCTAATTAAGCAAGGAGTATACATGCAAGGAGTCATGTATGAGTATGCGTCACCAAATCTGCAATTAAGCTCTGAAAACTCGAAGAAGCAATCAAAAGTTTAACAAGTTTGTGCAAGAAATCTAGAATGTTAAGACCATATTCATAAAAAATACAAACTAAAGTTCTTCAGGTTATTAAGTTCTTAAAATTGGTGCCAGTTTCGTACGTGGTGTGATGGAAAAACTATATACACGCGTGAAAATCTAGTCAATTGTGCATGTTTTCTTCAAAAAAAGAGAATAACAAACAATAATTAAAAAGAAAATTTTCTTGACAGGGAAGTGCCAAAAATAGCTTGCAAAAATAGTTTTTGAATGAAAACATTTGTTTTTTTAGCCTAAATGACCAATTTAGATGAAATTAGACTTATTAGTCCAAGTTAGGCCAAAAAAGAAAATCTTCAAACCAATTTTGTAGCGTCGTTTGAATCACAGCTGAAAGAACTAAAATATGACACATCATTCAACCCAGTCCGATGACTATTTGAAGTAACCTGATTATGCGTGGAACACAAAAAAATACAACACACCCGAATACAAAGTTCCTCCCCAGTTTCAATGGTCGGAACAATAAAATTGCTTAATTGCTAAAATTGGCCCTTAAATTATTTAATTGCTTAAATTGCTTAAATTATTTTTTCTTATAAAAGGACGAAAAGAAGGTACAAGTTTATTATTTGTAAAATTGTTAATTCTACAGGTAGTATACTGACGGATCTCTTTAACCATATCCTCTCTTTCGCAAAAGGGGGAGAATCGTTACTAGGTATAAAATCCTTATATGCTTCACTGTTGATTTATTTTCATTATAGACGGGGGGGGGGTGTTCGTTACTGGGTAACCGAGAGGGAGGGGGATAGTGAAAGAGATTCATACTGACCTCAGTTTGTAGCCTGACAGCGGGCGATGTGCTCTCCACCCCCCATATCTCCGTGCGGCTGATTAGGGCGAAGTTCTCGAACCCATAAGGGAAGAACCGCATTCCCGGGTGTTCCCTCAGGTGCCTATACACTGCAAGGTCACGCTCCTGTCTGCAAAGAGACAACAAATTCAATCATTTGTTTCTTTGTTTCATTATTTATTAACGATCGAAAGTTAAAAAAAACTAGAGGCGCGTGAAAACAGGCTGCAAATTTTCATAAAGTTCTCGGAATGGAATTTTGATTTGTTTCAAGTGTTCTGAAATTAACAGTGAATGGAATTTTATTGCTGCGCCGAAGTTTCCCGGATAAAATAGATTATATTGAGAAAATTTTGCCAAAAATGGGGCACTTATAACCGATTATGTGTAACCAATTTAGGAGACAATTTCTATTACAATAGCTTGAAAATGGATTCTATCCGCAACAGTTGTATCGCGTCATAATTCCACCAAAATTTTTGTTGTCTCCCCATCGTTTCTAAATAATCAATTTGTTTCGCCATATAATCCCAACAAAAGTTTTTTTTACCACATAAAAACAATAAAATCAATTTTTGTTCCCATAGAACCCAGGGAAAATCTATTTAAAAACGTCACTCACTGTATGCAAGTTTTTTTCTAATGAATCTAAAATCTAAAGACAAGAGCCACCAAAAAGGATCATTGCGACCCTAATTTAACTAAAAACCATCTGTAAAAACTCAGTTTTTGCTAAAATTTTTACAAAATTATCTGATGATTTTTATTTTAAGATCATGTTACAGCAATAAATGGAGGTATAGGCACTTGAATCTGAAACTAAATGAATTGGAAACTAAGAGCATTGCGACCACGAGTTCACTAAAACGCGTCAGTAAAAGGATCAATTTCTGCGAGAAAATTATAAAAAGTTCCTGATGGTTTTCAGTTCAGAAACAATCAAAGGCAAAAAATCCAGGCATAAACAAGCAGGCCGAAAAATGCGTTTAGTCACTTTTTGAAAAAATCACGTTTTTGTGGCGCGTAGTTCTCGCTTAAATTTAGTAAATACTAAAGTGATTTTCTTTGAGTTTTAGAAAAAAATCAAGACAAACTATTTTGATCAAACTTTCTGCACCGCGAGCGGTTTTTAAAAAAATAAACAGCCCAAAAACGATGTTTTTAAAAGGTTTTCATAAGAAATTTGCTCCCTTCTCAAAATTGGTAATTATTGGCGCCGCAAGCGCCTTAAGAATATGTTAAGGGTCTGTCAGCCAAAAATGGATATGTATAAATAGTATCACAGGGAGACTTTTTGGGTCGGCAGAGGGTCTAGTCCTTGTGGGTGGTGTGAACATCCATCAACCCATGCAAGTTTTTACAAAATAAACAGCCCAAAAACGATGTTTTTAAATCCGCTACTGGGCTGAATGAACTAAAAACTGTCAATCAAAAAATCTTTTTTGCTGGTTAATTGTGGTATAAATTACTGATAAATTTCAGCTAACAAATTGAAGCATTGTTAAGCGGTTAGGTTAAAAACAAAAACAACGTAACTGGAGCATTGCGACCCTGAATTAACTAAAAAGGCTGTGCAAAAATTTCAAAAAGTCCTGATGATTTTCAGTTCCAAAACAACCGAAGGCAAAAAATGAAGAAGGAATGCACCATGAATGCTAATTGCGCTATTATACTAAATTTCAAGAATAAAAAAATGAGGCACCTCAAAGAATCTCGCTATAAATTTGCAACCCACCAGTAGTGAGATTTTGTAAAAGCTATAATTTGATTGTGTGGTCTTACAGCTTAAAATTATGCTTAAAATGAGCCATGTATTTTAGCGAATACGGCGAAAAATAGTTTTATTGAAATTATGTGGAGAAAAACAATAGTTTCAATTGTTTTATTAATCAATAATTATATTATTAACTCTCGTTCTTTTACTTTTAAGACTCAGCTTTTATCGTTTTTTTTATCCAATTTTATTATTTCTTATGCCATGAAAAAACAGTACTTTTTAAAGCTAAATCAGCCAGGCTTTCAACTAGTATTTAACAATTTCTTTAGCAACCCGGGTTGATCAAAAGTCATGCTATCTTGAAATATTTCTCACAAAAATCAAACACCTTCTTAAGAAAATAGGTAGAAAATTTTTACAAACAAAAACGAACGAAACTGTTCGTTAGAAAGTTGTAAGGTAGGAACATTTCTTACAAAAGTTAGTGAGATAATCAAAATCTATGCAAAAGTTTGAAAAACCTGGGAATTTTTTTGACCAGATTTATGAAATATCCAAGATGGTGAAATTTAATTGGGATGGTCAACACCTAAAAACTTCGTTGACTTTTTTCCAGCAGATCAGATTTAATTATGAAGCATTTGGATTCAATTAGAATGTTTTTTTCCACTTTTTGGCCTACTTTCTAAATTATAAAAATAAAAAGGCTTTTACACAATATAGCAACTAAAATGTGTATAAAATGTGTTTACAAAATTGTGTGCGTTAAACATCATATCACAAAAATAAGAAAAAAATTTTAGTGGATTTTCAATGTCTTTATCTATAAAAATAATCGATTATAATTGTTTTTCATTGAATTTTAATGCTTTAATCATAGCAGATAGATTTTTTTAATAGTTGAACTTTTTCGTTCCGGCTTTTGTTACGATATAAACGGAATGATTGCGCACGGGGTGGTACTTTTTTCTTCAGACAAAATTCGAATTTTTACTTAGCTGTTAACGCGTTAGCGGAAGATCTAATGCGTCTTAGAAATCGTTCCAAGTTGGTTGAAGGAAGCCTCTTTATTATAATTTATTTGTAACAAGGAGCGAAATCTTTCACTTTGTACTATATTTTGCGTGTGGGGGGATGATTTTCACGATTAAATCAAACCTCAATTTAGAAAACATTCGTTTTATTTTATTGTTCCGATTTTCGATACGAAAGTAACGGAAGTTTTGTGCTCGGGTGGTTTTTTTTTTCTACAGACAAAATTTGAATTTTTAACTAGCCTTTTTTGACGGAATTTTTTAATATCATTCGAAAGCTATTGTTGTCTTGAGCTTAAATTTGAAAAGATTTTTCACCTGTGATTGTTTTTCGTAAAGTTATGAGGGTTTAAATATTGCCATTTTGGCCAATTTGACCAATTTGGGACAATTAGCGCGCGATATAATTCGCGTTATTAACGCGTAAGCGCAGATTTAATCCGTCCTAGAAATCGTTCCAAATTGGTTGAAAAAAGCTTATTTGCCATAAATGTTTTGTTACAAGGAGCAGAGTCTATTGTTTTGTACTTCATATGGCGTGTCGGGGGATGATTTTTATAGAAAAAATTTTCAAACTTTAGAAAAAAAATTCATTTTATTTTATTTAATTTAATTTTTTTTTATGTTGTTTATGTTATTACTGCTCCATAAACGTTAAAAGACAGTCGAATCTATCAGGGCGTTGCCCTGATACGAGCAGTCTTGTTTCATTTTATTTGTTCATATGAATACTGCTCTATAGACCATAAAAGGCAGTCGGAACATTCAGGGCTTCGCCCTCATACGAGCAGTCTTGTTCACCTTTTATTTTTTTATTTTTTTTTCCATATGACAATAAAACTCAATGTTAATCAGTTTTTATCTATCCATGGAACTTCAATGTGAGTTCCTAATGTCAGATATTGCATTAATATTATTGATTCAACATCAAAAAATACTCCAAATTCTTCTCGAGCCTAAGGTTGAACACATTGTCTCGTTTTCGGTCAAAATTTGAGCCTGCGGGAATGGTTCAGCAAACTTCGCGAATTACAAATATGCAAATTGTTGAACAAGATATTTATGCTAATGAGTGTATGAACAAATGTTTCTGTGAGATGCAAAAGTATCGACAAAGTTTGATTAAAACACGAACAAAAAGTTGAAAATTGCTGAGAGCAATTTTCAGGTCATATTTTGCAGCTTATACAAAAGTAAATTAATTTTTCCTGATCAACTTTGAATTGCGTACTTAGTTTATGGTTCTTTGCAGAAAAAACAAGAGATCGCAAACTTTTGCTCACTTTATGATTAATTTGCAGCTGAAATTTGAATACGATAACTTCATCAACGAATTAGCGGAAAAAGGCAAGAACTTGGACATCGATATAAAGTTTTGTTTTAAATTAAAAATCATTTCACTTTCTTTGGGTTGCCGTCAATTTAAGCCGACCAAACCATAGATAAAGTTGAAAGCAATGAAATGCAAGAAATCATACCAGCCTTTCAAACAGAACTTTCCCGCATTGACAAAATTAAGATTATGACGGATTTACATCAACTGTATTACAGTTTAACTTCATTACAGTTTCGATAGTTTAGAAATTGATCGGATAAAGCCCATTTGTTGACAAAAAAAATCAATTTACAAAAGGCTTCAACGGTTTTTCATAAAATTAATTTTCTTGTCTCTACAAACTGGTTTTTTATTGATTTGAAATTTCGCAAGATATTTAAAAAACGCCCAATACTCAAAAAAATTATATAAATCAATTTTATGTGGTCCTAAGAAGATCAATATGTCGCCTCAAACTCTTTTCAGAATGTTTTAAATAATTCTTTTGTTCCAAAGGTTGCGCAGAGATTTGTATTCAAGAAAAATCTCCGTCAGTGCTTCATAAATCTACAGCTACTAGAGGGGAGTTGTGTACCGCAAACACTAAACTTTCAAAGGGACAATATAAAAATTGTTATCAAAGAGTTCCCGCGGTGATAAAAACTGAAGACATTTCAGCGCAATTTTGTAAATCGATTCAACAAAAAAAACTAGAGCAAAAAACTAGAGTTTTGAAAAAGAGCAAAAAACTTTCCGTGCCAGATAACCGCATGGAATTCTTCTTATAGCTTTTTTTCACTTCATATTTAAGCACTAAAAACCAACTGAAGAGTTTTTTAATAGTTTTTTTAAGTTTACAACATTTATTTGATAGTTAAACAGGTAAAGAAATCGGTATTTAAGCTGTATAAAATGAATATAAAAAACAAGGATTATAATTTATAACTTCAATTTGGATCGATTTATATCAATATTACTCAACTAAATGATGATGATCGGCCGGTCTTCTTTCTGCCATTTAGAAGTAGAGATTGAACATTACTTTGGACTTTCATCGAATGATAGGATCAAGTTAATATTATCCTCTCTAAATTTAGTTTGAATAAAGTGAATCAGCGCTGCGTATAAAATACCTAATTAATTGGTTTCAAACCCCAATCTCGAACCAAAATAACAGTTTTCATCTTCCCTAAACGAAACATACTGAAATTCGGTGGAGAACATCGAAACATAAATCGAGCATTTTAACCCGGGAAGTTTATGTTGAAAATAGTATAAATTTCTACAGTTACATATTATTTTGAAATCAAAAGTGTCAACATTAGGTTTTACGTAGCCACTTTTGCGCTATTAACGCGTTAGCGGAAGATCTAATGCGTCGTAGAAATTGTTCGAAGTTGGTTGAAGGACGCCTCTTTATTATAATTTATTTGTAACAAGGAGCAAAATCTATCACTTTGTACTATATTTGGCGTGTGGGGGGATGATTTTAACAAACAAATCAAATCTCAATTAAAAAAGTTTGTTTAAATTTATTTGTTCATATGATTACTGCTCCATAGACCTTAAAAAGCAGTAGGAATATTCAGGGCTTTGCCCTGATACGAGCAGTCTTGTTCACTTTTTATTTTTTTCATTTTTTCCACAATGACAATAAAACTCAATGTTAATCAGTTTTTATCTATCCATGGAACTTCAATGTGGGTACCTAATGTCAGATATTGCATTAACATTATCGATTCAACATCAAAAAATACTCGAAATTCTTCTCACGGTTGTAATACAAAAAAAAACTTTAGAGGAGAGAGGGAGAGAGAGAGAGAGAGAGAGAGAGAGCGTTGACAGGGCCAGCATGATTTTACCTGACCAAAACAAACTTACTCTGGCAGAGACATGAATTCTTTCCAGGAGGGTAGGAAGAGGTACTCCACGATTGGTTTGCTCTCGAAGGTCAAGTTTGTAGTCCCGTTCAGATTCTGCTCCAGGTCGCAGTCTACTTTCAACACTTCCAACTTGTGCCAGTTGGATGGCCCTAAATAGAAACATTGTAACAGAGGCGCCTGAAAAGGGACTGCATAGTTACATGGCGTTCTCGCAATGAGATTTCGCTTGGTTGTAAATGCAGCAACTTTTACAATGAATGAAATCTAATTTGCAAACAATTTATTATTATTATTATTAACAGCGAAAGTTTGGGAATATTTTCTGACTTCCAGTTAAAAAAATTTAATTTAGTTTTTGTTTGAAAAATATGACATAAAAATACATATATTTTTTGAAATTTCTTTTTCACTTCTATAACTTCATGTATACAATGCGTTTCTCGTGACTAGATACAACTTACTTGATGGATGGGCCTAAAGAGAAACATTGTATCAGGGAAGTTTGTGAATGATTTCTGACTTCCAGTTAATTAATTTTAATTTAGTTTTTGTTCGAAAAATATGACATTACTGTATAATTTTTTTTGAAATTTCCACTTCTGTAAATTCTTGTATACAATGCGTTTCTCGTGACTAGATACAAATAGTCTTGTTTAATTTTATTTGGAAGGATTTTTCATCGCTTGGTGTTTAATTATCAAAAGTCGGCCAAATTGATAGTTTTCAAAGCGCCATCTTTCACTAATAATGATTGAATGAGAAACATCTTTTTAAAATTGAACTCATGAGATCGACACTTTTTTCTGATAACAAAAAAAAACATGTATTATGTTACTTTCTACCTATGAAAGAGAACAAACAGAGACCGATGCTCAAAAAATTTTTGAGCATTTATCTCTTTTCGATACAAGATCAATGATACAAGTTCATATTAAGTAAGCTTGATAGCTAAAAAATGCAAAAGATATCAGAATTCGTCGGCAAAAAATTTCCAAATTATTGCAAAAATTAGTGCTCAATTGTTGGTTAGTTTTAAATTTGTAGGGTTTTTTTTTCTTGTCAACCATACATTTGATTTATAAGTTTGCGCGGCAATGTCTTGTGGCAGTAACTAGCTGGTGGTTGTTGAGGTTCGTAAAGTTTTGACAGCCAATTGTATGCCCTTTTTTTTATTTGAAGTCAGTGGCGGGTATAGGGTTTTGTCGAAGGGAGGAGGAAGAATTTCCATTAATTTTTCAAAAATTTTGTTGATCTTATTTAGGACTACTAAAATTTTTTTCCGAGCACTCACAGAACACTACAAAAACTCTTTTTTGAAAGAAAAAAACAGATCAAAAAGGCACAGGTCAAAAGGGGGCACTCCTTGCTTTGTGAGTAGGGTCGAGTTCCTGAGGGAGGGGAAGAGGAAGCGTCGCCAGCCTTAAACTCTAGTAAAAAAACTACACCAATTTAACAGGCATTTTATGTTCCAATTTTCGAAGAGAGCGTGGAATGTTTATGCCTGTGGTGGTTTTTTTATTCAGTCAATTTTTGTCTTCTTATATGAGATTTTTTGGTAGAACCATACAAATTATACAGTCCGTAAAATTATGGTGGTTTAAAAACAGCTAATTTGGCCAACTTGGAACGAACAACGAGCATTATGTTGAATTTTTATAGCACTCGAGTAGTAGATAATGCAGGTGATCAGTTGGGAGCCCGGTAGAAAATATACCATTTGTCTTACCATTTTCCTATAATGGTACTAACATTGAAAACTTACCATTTCTATCTTCTATCTTCATATATTGCAGACTCTATAACCAATTTTAAGACTTAGCTTGGTACACCAGGAAATCTATAACATACGTTAAAACATAGGGTCTACCGCGCACACCTCCCTTTCCCCCGCCATCCTGATCACCTCCAAAATCTACTACTCATGTGTAAGCGTTGGATTATTGCGTTCATAAAATAAAATGAATTGAGGCTAGTCGTTTGGTCGTATTATTAGAAATCAAGACGCTAAAATGAATCCCTCTGTAGCTTACAGCAGTTTGTTTGGGGGATAAACTAACAAATTAAAAAGAAGACCTTTTTTATGTTTTTTTTCTCATTTTTTCGTCAATTTTTCATTGAAAAAAACTTGAAAAAAGGCCTTAAAGTGCAGTTGGAACTTTTAGGACTTCACTCTAAAATACGAGCAGTCTTGTTCTCATCTGGTAGGGAATAATTTAGAACGATAAAGTTGCTCTCATGCAAACTGGCATACTCAACGGATATATTTTAAAAGCCAATTTTCAAAATTTTTCAAATGCTATTAGAAATTTGAAAATTCGCTCTGTTGGTTTATCTCAAATTGGCAAAGTTCAAACCCTTTGAGTTTTACAGAAAGTTGTCACTGCAGAAAAATCTTTTTAGTTTTGAGCTCAGAGCATCTTTATTTTTCCAATTATTTTGAAACTCTATATCGCGCACAAATATTCAGTAGTTTTCTTCCGAATTCCTACAGATAAGCAAGTAATTTAGTACTATACTGTTTTGTTTCGATATCTACCCCTAAATCATTTTTATTCCTGTTTGGAAAGTTAAATGCTGGCCGGAAAGTCTTTTTTTTTCGTTTTTTGCGGTAGTTTCATGCTTTTATTTACAAAAAAACGCACTAAAATCCCTGGATCTACTAAACAATTGTTCTTCTTTCAAGAAGGGGGTAATTGTTAAGTAGATTCATTTGTTGTTCCGACTTTTGATACAAAAGTAACGGAATATTTGTGCTCGGGTGGTTTTTTTTCTTCAGACAAATTTCGACTTTTTAAGTAGCCATTTTTGAAGGAATTTCTTTTATATCATTCAAAAGGTATTATTGTCCTGAGCTTAAATTTGAAAATGTATTTCACCTCTGATCATTTTTTGGAAAGTTATGGGCGGGGGTTTCAAGATTGCCATTATGGCCAATTTGGGATAACTAACGCGCGATTTATTTCGCGCTATTAACGCATAAGCGGAGATTTAGTTCGTCTTAGAAATTGCTCCAAATTGGTTGAAGTAACCTTATTTGTCATAACTGATTTGTTACTAGGAGCAGAATGTCGCTTTGTTCTTTATATTGCGTGTGGGTGGATGCTTTTCACATAAAATCTAAAATTATGTTACAAAAAAATTCATTTTTTTTCATTACATTTTTTTTTTTATTATATTAGTGCTCCATAGACCTTAAAAGACTGTCGGATCATTCAAGGCTTTGCCCTGATACGAGCAGTCTTGTTCGAAGATTCTATCCTATTCAGAAAGCAGCAGATTTTGGATTATAAATAGAACGTTCTGGTGCTAATTTACTGCTTTCACTTTTAGGAGTGGAAATTCTTCAGTAGATATCAAAGGGGGATTGTTCAGTAGATCCCAATCTCTGATTGAATATTTTCCCACGATGTTAAGTGTCTTCAAAAACGCATGAAAATGGGTCAATTTTACAGTGATTTGCGTTACTTCAAATATATGGGTTTGCAGCACTCCTTGGAATATTTCAGAGCAAAACCCGAATAGAAAGTGGTCCATAAAATAAATTTTATGTTTGATAATCAAGAAGCTTCTTTTAGGCTCGGTCGTTCTAGCTGGGAAGATTCAACGAGACAGGAACGTGTTGAAAGTACCTTCAAGCTATACATTTCCATTGTCTATAATGGTATAAAAGCTCCCATGAGCAAACATATTGTCATAAAACAGGCCAAATTAATTCAGCCAACACTGATGAATGGTTCGATTTCTTTGTTCGGCTTGTACAATTTTGTTCAGTTCGCATGCAAGTGAACAAAAATTGGCATTAAAAAGTGTGTGTATCTCCGGTTTCAGTTCCTTAAGTTTAAAAAAAAAACTCAGTTTGAAAAGTTCATGAATGGTATTAAATCTCAAATTGTTTTGAAAATATTGCATTAGATGGTTTTTTTAATTAGGATCAAAACTAAATTTCAATAAAAAAAAATAGCAGATAAAAATATAAAGTATAGAGAAATAGAAACATTTTCTTTCATGACATTCAATTTAATCAGTGGCGCGACCAATAGGTCCACCAATTTTTTTTTAGGTCGACCAATTTGGTTTTCCTTTTTCCAAGCTCTCCTAAAATAGTATAAGGGTCGCATTTTTTGAAAAATTTTTTGCGCCTTTAGGGCACTTTTTTGGAAAATTTTGACCAACAACTACCCCCCTGATTTTAATATATCTATAAAAGCACGGTACTGATTTTAATATATCTATAATCATCAATGTAATAATAAAATGTTTTCAAACCAGTTACATGCACCAACTATTTCAAACCAGTTACATGCACCAACTATTTCAAACCAATTGTAAATTATGATTTATGTAATTTGAGAGGACATCCTAAAGTATTCAAACGAGTTCCGAAATAAAAAGATAACTTCGAGAAGCTAATTTCACAAACAAATACATCAGTGGAACGGTAACAAATCTCCTAGCCTTTAAAAAAATTGTTTTTATCGTTTTTCAAACAATTGCTTTTTCTGTTGTCTATTTTTACTCATGTATTGACGTCAGATAGTAGTTGAACTTGTAATTAATCAACTCATATTTTTGACTGCGTTTTCTTTGATAAAGAGTAAACTTTTTTTATTTTCAAAAGGAAAAAATGGGAAAAAAAACATTTACGCTAATTTTAATGATGATTGTTTTGATGATTACCATTTGGAATCTTGTTAGCACAACACTTTTTCTTCTGAAAAAGGGGAGAAAACCGATATGATGACACTTGAAGTATAGTTCATTATAGTTCATTGGAAATTCGCTATTATTGATACCATTGGGGGGAGGGGGTAGGGAATAATTGACAAGGTCCAGTTTTTATTCAATCATCCTTAATCGAGCTGATATATTTCAGGAGCTGAATCTTTAATCGAATTGGGGTATTTGGAAGATTATTTAAGTCTGGTGGGTGATCAAAAATAAAGAAATTGAAGGTCTTTTCAAAGATAAAGGAGCCACCCAAAAGTAGCAATCGGGCAGAAGACTTCATTTTTCCAGACAACTGGCGCTCACTTTAATCTAATTTTATTAAGTAAATGCTTTAATTTATACATGACGCGCAATTGGAAATTCCCAAAAGATGAAAGATAAATATGACGGGAACTTTTCCGATATGAATACACTTCAAGTTGTAAGCCCCCCCCCCCCCTCACTTTATACGTATAGTGTAAACGATAACTAACTTCATCGCGAATTCCGAGATTCTTTATACATAGCATGAAATACAAGATATCAACTTTGGTTTCGATTTGAACGCATTAATTTAGTTTTAAAAGCCTCACAAGTGAAATAAAAGTGTCCTGACCAAAATTTTACTAAATAATGCATGTTTAAAGCAGGTGAAAATTGAGCTTTTTTGAGGTTTAGTATAGACCTTACCAAATGAGAAAAATGCCATTAGACGCCATTTTATGAGAGAAAAGCCTGGACAAGGCTTTTAAATGTCAAGAAGTTTAAGCGAGCGCCAAGATGAATGGCGACTTTTTTGGTAGAACAACATCAAAGTTGAATAGAGACACAGCTGAATCCAAAGTTCCTTCCCACTCCAATGAAAAAAAAACAACTTGGATTGGATTTACAACAAAAGTGATGAATAAAGGATTTTTAAAACTGGCAAAAAAAGAATATATTTTGAACAGGGGCGGATCTAGGATTTTCTCGAGGGGGGGGGGGGGGGGCGGATTTTCAAAAAAAGTTCGAAAATTTTGACGACCTTTTTTTAGGTCGACCAAATTGGTTTTTCGAGCTCTCCCAAAGCACTGTTTTGCCCCTCTTTTGGCTAAACTTTCTGCACCGCAGGCATATTTTTGAAAAAACAGTCAAAAAAGCCGTTTGCGTTTTTTTGGCGCGCGCTCCCCCTCAAAGTTAGTATATATTGGCGCCCAAGGCGCCTTTAGAAAAATTTTAGGGTCGGTCGGCCAAAAATGGATTTCTGAAAAAGTATCAAAGGGGGGAGTATCAAAGGGGGGGGGAAAGTATCAAAAAATGCGTTTATCCAATGAGTAATGAGGAAGTTTTGCAAAACGATTAGATGGTCCACTCGATTTCTACACCTATACTTTCTCAAACTGCAAAAAGTTTCCATTCTAAACCCCCCTTGAAGTTATAATTCTTGACCATATATTTACATATAGACAAGATACATATATTTTTTAACTTTTCCTTGAGTTTTTTTCAACGAAAGATCAAAAAACTGCATTTTTTAAGCACGCACTTCCTCTGAAAGTTAAAATATACAAACAATTGTTGTTTACGTCAAATTGTCCACCCCAAACCTTTCACAAAGTCTCTCTTCTTCATAAATTTGAAAAAATGGTTGAGTGGAAGAAAATTTAGTAAGACTAATTGAATAACAAATATCAAAGTTGCGCAGAAAAAACTGAAATCAAACAACAGGTAACCAACGTTCGTTTAATTTTTGCAAACGACTTTGTGTCCATAGAAAATGCATATCAATAAAGTGGAAAAACAATGATTTCAAATGGATTTATGTTTTTATAACGAAAGTTAATCAGTTATAACTGATTTGCAATAAACATTATTGCTTTATCAAATAAAAGCAAAACATTTCATTTTTAATTGTAATAATCTGTTATTTTCCACTTTTTTAGACAAATTCAATCTTTTTATCCAATATAATCCAATGAGGATACGGATTGCAAGAAATTTCTCAAACTTAACAGGTTCTGCAAAAATGGTTTGACTCACACAGTGCCTCAGAGCGAAATTAGAATTTTAGAAAATTGCTGTGTTTATTAGCTGAGCAATTGAGGTTCTGATTAAAATTTAAAACTTAGAATAAGAAACTTTTAAAGCCTCACAAAACGTTTTTTTAATTGAAAAATTAGTTTTCTGAGTTCCAATTGATGATTTTTTGTCCAGATTTGACGGCTTTACTTGCCCTGACTTGGTCAAACAAGGAAATTCTCAAAATGTTTTTTTTTCAATTGAAGTTTTTTTGTGTAGATAATTTTAAAATCGGAAGAATTATAATATGGTAAAAACAATTTGATCAAAGGTAATTAATGATAATTTTTGCAAAAATTTTCGAAAATCCATCATTTGCTATCATAGTCATTTATTTTGCAAAATCTTTACTCACAGCAAAGCAAAATTCATTTACTTTGTGGTGCCATTTTGGTTAATATGCTTGAAGAATCGATTAAAAAATATACTATACGTGATATAATTGCCTTAAGAAATGTCTAAATCAGTTTTTAAACTAAAAATTGATCTATAATTGATAGAAAGACAAAAAACTCGACACGAGTAGGTGATCAAAAACGAAATTCAATTTTTAATTACTTCACTTGGACATTGCAAAAAAATTATCACAGCCAATAAAAATTTTGATTTCGAAATTAAAGCAGTACCATATAAAGTGAATCAGTAAATTCCGAAACGGCTAAGTGAAGAGTCGAATTTGTACTGGATTAATAAAAATAAACAGAGCACAAAAAACTCATTAGTTTCCTTAAACATTACAAGGCCAAACTGCGCGCTGGATTAGTGCGCAGTTTTGTGTCTGTATGTTCCTGGATTTCAGTGACAAACCTTTAAACATGTTCCAAAATTTAAGTTGATTCCACTTACAAAATTTCAGTGGATTCCGGGTACAAATAGCTGTAACGTAGATTTTGTCGGCACATTGATTTTAATGCGGACTCCGCAACGAGCGAATATAAGTAGTTGATCCGTATTCCGCAAATGCAAGCGGATTCTGCAAATCTAAGTGGATTCCGGAAACTTATGCGGATTCCGCTTTCAGTTTGCGGAATCCGCTTACAGTTTGCGGATTCCGCTCACAATTAGCAAATTCCATTTACAGTTGCGAAATCCGCGACAACTTACGTTTACTAAACATATATACTATTATTTGTTCATGGATTCCACAAATTTTGTTGCGGATTCCGCAAAATTGCCGGTTTTTCGAACAATTTTGAGCATCACAGTTTTTAGCTATTTGCCCGTGAAATCCAAAACAGCAGAGAAGATCAAAGAAAAATAGCAACGTTGCGGATTCCGCGGCAAATCTAATTTTTGCCTGTTGCAGAATCCGCTGCCTCGAATCCGCTGCCTTTGGCCTCGTAATGAAGCTGGCACAAAAAAGATGGAAAGATGGAAAGTTATGGAGAAAAAACTAATTAAAAAGTATGAAATTTTTTTAATGAAAAGTTCTAATCACAATTTGCATACATGAAAAACAAATACTCATAGACTTTTCATGCGTTTCTCTGTACTCTATGAAATTTGTATGGTAAGCGTTTTTTCATAAATGAAAATTGTATGAGTAGCATTTTTCCACTCGGGAAGATAGAACTGAAGGTTAGAGCTTGCTCTTACCCTGAAAATAGAGGAAAGATGTCTCCACAAACAAGCTCATGTCATATAATCCATCCTGGATTAGACCTATCATCAACTGGTGGGTTTCGGGGTCTATCACCTTCAGATATCTGAAAAACATGTCGTCAAGCAGCTCTTTGGTTCAACCACTCAAAAAATAAGAAAAGCCAGATATAGTCATATAATTTGCTGCGTTTGTAAATAAACTCAAGTCAAGTTAATGGTAATTTTTTTGTTTTCAATTTTCATTATTGAAGTATAGTGGGTTTTCATTGTTTGATGTGGGAGGGGTTGATCAAGAATATTCAAGTTTCTGAGAGCCTTCTATCTTATAGTTTTTGATTTTCTCTTTTTGAAAAAAAACTCAAAAAAATTATTCTTAGGTTTAACCAGTGACAATAGTTTCCTATTCGTAGAGTTGTTACAGCAAAAAAATTTAAATGCGGGGTTCGAACCTCTCTGCGTTTGATCTGAGCACGTGCATTTCGCATGAGTTGGTGAGGTCAGCAGTGAAGAAATTGTACTGACAGTGACACATCTCAGCCACTCGGTCAGTCGCAAACATCAGCAGAAGAACTAGAACAAAGATTACATAATTATTATGTAATAATAAATGTTCATACACCTTGTTCTGATTTATTACATAATTAGAGTTGACATTTAAGCATCGGATGAACATTTTTCAAGTCAATAATGCCGCAAATTCATTGGAAGCATAAGTAAAACATAGAAGCAACCATAGCGAGGGAATGTGCCTCCCTCGAGAATTCCAGCTCTAAATTGCCCATTAGTTCTTCCATTTGGTACATTTTTGTCTAAGTCCCCAGTATACAGAGTTTTTTGTTGAAATTTTTATTAAAAGAAGTTTCATGTGATTGTTAAATTGATTTCAAATTAATTTCTATCCAAAAGGGTTCAAAGTTCCATAAGGGTTCAAAACTATCTTTGTCTAATTTTTGCAAGTTTTTTGGAATTTTTTTTCGATATTAGGATTTTTGTCTTCAAGTAATGTATGTAACTTTTGACTTCGATCGAGGCAAGGCAAACCGAAATCTTATCTTAAGCATTTAGAGAATTGAGTAGCGTGCAGGGGCGGATTTAGGAAGGGCGGGGGGCGGACGCCTCTCTCTCTCTCTCGGGGATTTGACCCCTGGCCGACCCAAAGGGTCTACCCTTTGTACTGATCAATTTGTACATTTAATTTGGGATATCCATTTTTGGTGACGGACCATAAAGTTTTTGTAAAGGCGCCTTGGAAGCGCCTTTTTTTGGCCAGTTTTTTCAAAACTTTGCCTGCGGCGCAGAAAATTTTGCCAAAACAGGGTCTTTGTATTGCTTTGCGAGAGCTCGGAAAATCAATCTGATCGACCTAAAAAAAAAGGTCGACTAAATTTGAATTTTTTTTTGAAAAACCGCCCCCCTCCCCCTTTAAGAAAATCCTAGATCCGCCCCTGGTAGCGTGAAAACAAAAACATTTCTATTTTAATGAACTTTTGTTTTGTCTGCAAGCTACATCGAATGCCAATTTTGATCAATTTTCAATGTGTTTTGGGCTCTTTCCACTTTCACCACGGTAGACTTTCAATATGGAAAAGTTTTTTTTTCATATTGTCGTAATGCAAGAAAACTTGGTATAGTGAACAAACTAACAATTAAGAACAGATTGTTCTTCAAGCATCACATCATAACTTCAGGCGTTTGGCCATAAAAACCCGTAAAAAAATAACATCGAAAATTTAAAAAAAAAAGAGAGGGAAGATTTGGAAAGAAGCCTTGTTTTGTCTTTTCTTTTATACCGAAAAAATGAAATCGGAGGCGAATAAGAAATTACTCAAAGCTTTTTTTACTGAAAGACATCTTGACTGAAATGTTCCTCGTCTTTCGGTCATAAAAGATTGACAGCCGTAAACAGTTAACCAGTCCATCGCCTTAATCTGAATAAACCAATCTGATCGTCCGTTCTTAGCAGGTGATATATCACAAAAGATCTATCAAAAAACATGTTTGATGGCTGTGGTGAAAAGAAAAAGCCGCTCCATAATTTCAAACAAAGACCGAAAATTATTTGTGGTTATTTTGACATTTAATAAATGCGCGAGAGTCCGCTCTTAAAAAACACTTTGCTCTGGAAACCGAAAACAAATGAAAACTAGATGCATGTTGTCCAGAATGATGCCACCAAATTAAACATTGAATGAAAAAAAAAAGTTTTGCCATTTTTTTTAGAAAAGTAATGAACGGTCATTCCAGCTATTTTTTTTGGTCAAATTTTCTGCGATGAGCATTTTTTAGTAGAAGCAACAACTGAAAAATATTGATCCGACTTTCGTAACGAAAGTTACGAAATATTTCTGCTCGTTTTTTTTTCTTCAGACTTTTTAACAAAGTTTCGACTTTTTAACAAAGAATTTTTTGATGGATTTTTTTATATCAGCCAAAAAATATTGTTGCCTTGAGCTCAAATATAAAATGATATTTATCTGTGATCAATTTCATAAAATTCTGTGCTTAAAAATTGCCAATATGGCGAATTTAGGACAATAAGCGCGCGATTTATTTCGCGCTATTAACGAGTGAGCAGAGATTTATTCCCTCATAGTATAGTGAACAAACTAACAATTAAGAACAGATTGTTCTTCAAGCATCACATCATAACTTCAGGCGTTTGGCCATAAAAACCCGTAAAAAAATAACAACATCGAAAATTTAAAAAAAAAAGAGAGGGAAGATTTGGAAAGAAGCCTTGTTTTGTCTTTTCTTTTATACCGAAAAAATGAAATCGGAGGCGAATAAGAAATTACTCAAAGCTTTTTTTACTGAAAGACATCTTGACTGAAATGTTCCTCGTCTTTCGGTCATAAAAGATTGACAGCCGTAAACAGTTAACCAGTCCATCGCCTTAATCTGAATAAACCAATCTGATCGTCCGTTCTTAGCAGGTGATATATCACAAAAGATCTATCAAAAAACATGTTTGATGGCTGTGGTGAAAAGAAAAAGCCGCTCCATAATTTCAAACAAAGACCGAAAATTATTTGTGGTTATTTTGACATTTAATAAATGCGCGAGAGTCCGCTCTTAAAAAACACTTTGCTCTGGAAACCGAAAACAAATGAAAACTAGATGCATGTTGTCCAGAATGATGCCACCAAATTAAACATTGAATGAAAAAAAAAGAGTTTTGCCATTTTTTTTTAGAAAAGTAATGAACGGTCATTCCAGCTATTTTTTTTTGGTCAAATTTTCTGCGATGAGCATTTTTTAGTAGAAGCAACAACTGAAAGTTATTGATCCGACTTTCGTAACGAAAGTTACGAAATATTTCTGCTCGTTTTTTTTTCTTCAGACTTTTTAACAAAGTTTCGACTTTTTACCAAAGAATTTTTTGATGGATTTTTTTATATCAGCCAAAAAATATTGTTGCCTTGAGCTCAAATATAAAATGATATTTATCTGTGATCAATTTCATAAAATTCTGTGCTTAAAAATTGCCAATATGGCGAATTTAGGACAATAAGCGCGCGATTTATTTCGCGCTATTAACGAGTGAGCAGAGATTTATTCCCTCATAGAAATCGTTCCAATGTGGCTGAAACAGGCTTCATTTGTATTTTTTTCAACGTTACTAGGAGCAATTTTTATCACTTTGTACTTTTTAAGATGTTTGGAGAGATGTTTTTAAAAAAAATTGAAAGTTTTTATAAATTTTATTTGATTGTTTTTGAAAATTTTATCACTTTTTGAAATGAACACTGCTTCATAGGTCCTAAAAGACAGCCGGAACAATCAGGGCTTTGGCCTGATATGAGTAGTTTGTTGAAGTTTTCTTCTATAGTTAAAAACCCGTTGGAAATATACAAAAACTTTGCGGTAATTCTCTTCTAATTCGAGAAAGAATCTGAACAAGATGTAGTTTTTTTTCAAGACGCAATTTTTTAGAATAAACTTAACTTAATTCTTTATTGAAATATTTCATGATAAGAGCGGCTTTTCTCTAAAAAATGCCATAACCATAGGGATAATAGTTAAGAAAACCTTCTTTATTTTTGTTGTAAACCATTGAATCGTTTTTTTTTTGAAGTGATTTTTTTTGCAATTACTTTTCAAAGATTTATACCTAATGGAAAAACAGTTCTTAGGCTACATTTTTAAGACATTTTATAAGCTTCAGGAAGATGTGACGGTGGTCTAAATTAATCTAAAAAATCAGAACTTTCAATACAATTGTTCTCAAAAGTGCTAACTTTTTAGAAATAATTGTTGCAGCCACTATCAAAAACCTAAAAGACCCTATAAATTTACTTCATGATGAAGTTTACTCTTAATAATTTATTGTGACGAAGTATTTATATTGGTTGTGGTTTTTTCTAGCATTTTTTGACAAAAATTTTTATATCAGCCAAAATGCTTTGCTGTCCTTAGCTCAAATTTCAAAAGAAACACTTCATCAATGATCATCTTTTTGTAAACTTATGGGGTTTTGAAGCTTGCTGATTTGGTCAATTAACGCGTGATATTTTTCGCACTATTGAAGTGACGGAGATTTAATCACTCTAAAAAAGGTCCAAATTGGTTGAAGTAGTCTGAATTTGCTGCGTTACTAGCAGCGAAGTCTATCGCTTTGAAATTTATATGGCGTGAAGGGTTACAAAAAGCTCAAAATTAACAAAAAAATTAGTTATTTTAAATTTTCATCAGTTATTTTAGGCAAACACTGCTCCATTTTACTGCCTTTTTAAAGAGGCAGTAAAAAATTTCAGGGCTTCGCCCCGATGCGAAAAGTATTTTTTTTATTGCGACTTTAGAAATAAAAGAATACTTTTTCCTGGTGTGGTTTTTTTATTCAGTCAATTTTCAGCGATCGAAATAATAGTTTTAACAAAAAAATTTTAGGTTTCCTTGAATTTATTTACTCCCTGAAATCGAAAGTAGAAAAAATATGTCTCCTCCGATCATAAGTTGCAAAGTTTTGGGAGTTTGAAAATTGCCAATTTGGCTATTCTTTGAGAAGAGTTATGCTAGCTTTGAAGAGTTTATTCATAATGCGGCAAACGTAAGGCGAATCATTTTTGCGTGGCAAATTTTCCTGTACAAAAAAAATTGTTCCGAATTTAACTGAGGCTAGCTAATCGGTCGTATTAATTTTGTACGACTCAAATTTCCACACTTGTTCTTTGACCTTGTCCAAAATTTATAGGATTTCTATTTTTTTAAAAAAAATTGTTCGGTATGGTTAAAAGGACAATCGGATTATTCAGGGCTGTTCCTTGATAGACAAGCAGTCTTGTTGATGATATATGTTTGTTTTGAGGCAAGGGAATCTCTTTTTTATAGCTCTGGATAAGCCTTGAAAGCCGCTCAAAACAGAGTAATTTTGATTTGAAAATACCTTATTCGTAAAATTTTTTCAGCCTTTGAACTGTACGATGAAGTGAATTTTTTCCATAGATCAAAGGTTTATTATTTTGATAATTTTCATGATGTCAGAAGTGTTTTTGCTCCAAACCGAACACGTTGAAAAAAAACCAAAGTACAAATTGCCAAGTACGAATCGATAATGCTGCAATTATAATTGT